AGAGAACTTTAAGAAATTAATATAGCCACTACAGTGACCATCAAAACGATGAAAAAATATTGCCGTAAACAGTTTATTTTGCGACACCACGAAACAAACGATAGCTAAAATGAAACAATAGACGTTTTTATATCGTCATCCGATATATATCGTTACATCGAACAGCCCTAATCACGACAACACAATCAACTGATGCATCAGGCAACTTGCATGAGAGGAAAGCGCAATAAGGTGACAGAAATAAATTTCCACTAAGGATCATTGCATTTTTGAACATAAGGGAGCCTTAGTTCAGCAAGGTTTCTGTAGATGAACCTGTGAAAGGATTACTTTGGGTAGCTTTTAATCCCAGATCACTCAGGGGGGTCTTTCAATGACAAACTGCAGTTATCACTGTGGATGCTTGATGAATACTGAAGGCCTCAAATGTGGTTATGTGTCTCACCGATTAAGTACTCGTCTTCCAGAGCAAAAGTAGCCAGATCCTGAGGATACTCCACCCACAGAGGTCTGCAATAGACATGAACACAATATTTGCATCTGCATCACAATATACTACACAAATCAGCCACACTGCAATATATTTTTATAACCTGATATATAACCCAAATGAAGGATTTTTTTCTTTCCCGATTTGAAATTCCATTTCTCTTGATTGGGAAAGTAATATTCACCTCTGTCCTACAGCACATTGCAGTAACTACTTGAATACACTGTCTTTTCGTGTGGTATTATGCATCACTCTTATTTATAAACTCTAAAGGCAATCAAATAACTGCCTTAAAATTAGTTGACATATTAGATAAATTTTAAACAGCAGTTTGGTCAAATGAGGCCTCTTCAGAGTACAATTATCTGTGGATAACCTGTATGTATTGACTGTCTAACCAAAATCATCACCTCATGACGGGCTCTCCCGTCACATGTGCGCGGTAGAACAGCTGGTACCAGTAGGGCAGGAGGGTGTAGCGCTGGCGCACGGCTTCACGGATCAGTGCAGTGTTTTCTGGACCAAACAGCCAGGGCTCGCGGCGGGGCGTGTCCAGATGGGCATGGGCTCTATAGAATGGCTGGTAAGCACCCGCCTGGTACCAACGCACAAGCAGTTCAGTGCTGGGAGACTTGAAGAAGCCACCGATGTCAGCTGTGAGACAGAGAGGGACATTATAGCCTCGATTGACAACGCAAAACGGCACGACACAAACTTCTTGAAAAAATCCGTGTTTAGAGCTCAACTGTTAAAGCGGATTTTGTACCAAATCAATATTTATGTGACTGCAGCTGATTTAACATGGGAATATGGGCTCACCATGGTAATGCCTCATGCCCATTTCCATGACAACCTTACCAAACACCCGAGGGATTTGTATATTTGTCAAAACAATTACGTAAAACTGATCTGAATGAATGCATTTTCCCCTTTCAAAATTCAGTCCTGTTTTACTGCTGTGTTCAGGTTCGATGCTGCACACTCACACCTATTTGAAAGCTGCAGTATAGCTAAATATTAAAAGGTAGCAAATAAAGGGTTTTTTAGCATTGTTCTGTTCCACATTTGAGGTTTCATAAAAATCAAGACTTTGTAAGTACTATAAATAAAAAGGAAAGGAAAATCTGAGGACTGATAGAACTAGAAGTGGTGCCTCCAGGTTTGGAAAGTCCCACGCTCAGAGCTTTGATGACTTCTGATCACTTCTCTGGGCCTGGACTATAAACCTCTAGCTGTAATGGTGGTGGTAATTTCAGTCTCCAGTGTGGCAGCAGAGCAGCGTTTCAGCCTTAAGAATTTAGTTAAATCAGGTTCGAACAGTTATCTGACAGAGGGCAAAACATTAAATGAGGCAAAGGGGGGAAAAAACAAAACAAAAAATTTGCAGCAGCATCAAGAGTTGCATTTGGCTCTTGATGCTGAGAATGAAACTGAACACGATGGCCATTGTAAGCTGACCAGAGAACCTAGGAGGGTTGCACTCACCTCCACAGAAAGAGATTCCAACCAGGCCCATACTCAAACACATGGGGATGGATATTTTCAGGTGGTCCCACTCAGCAGCATTATCTCCTGTCCACACAGCACCTAAGAGCCAAAAAATAAACCTTAACACACAAGATAATGCAACACCCAATTCTTTTTGTTATGAAAAGTAAATTGGATTTTATGAGCATTGATAATTTTACTGTCCAAGAGTCGAGGGTCCTTTCATGGCTCAGTCTGAACAAACTTAAAGTGGTGTTTGGTCTAGCCAACGCCAAATGTAAACAAAGAAGACTGCATCCTGTAAACGTCAGCTGTTCGACGTGCGATGCCACGTCTACATTAGAGCAGGCAAGAAAGTAAAGAAAGAAAATGGCTCACCGATGCGCTGAGACCCAGCGAAGAAGGCCCTGGTCAGGACAAATGGTCGTTCAACTCCTCCTGACCGCTGGATCAAACCCTCCGCCGTGGCCATTTGCTGTCGATAATAAAGAGATCGATAAATAAGAGGAAAACGGACTAACATTTACAGTACCGTAAGTTACCAAATACAACTTTAGGATCTCTTATTCCTTTTTAAAGGAGTTTTATTTTCAGTAAGAGGTAATAAAAGGATGCCAACGATTATCTGTCCTCCAACAAAGTAACAAACTCCAAATAATCTATAGGTTCTCTAAAAAAATTATTAATGAGAAAGGTCACAGTGAAATACACTCACCACATATAAACCATACAGGTTGTGTATATCACGATGCTCCCAGGATCCATGCATTGCATCCTTGTGCATAGTGACCTCCGGCCCATTGAAGACTGATGGCTCATTCATGTCGTTCCATGTATACAGGTTCTCCATGGTGCCCTGGAGAGTGAACAGATTAGATTTCATTTTGAGATGAGATTAAACAAATTTATGGAAAATCTATTTATTTATTTTTACTCCTAAAAAGTTCAAGCTTGAATGAATATTCAGTTACAAGCCAACTGTGGAAAGCTCAGGTGGTTCAGTTTCATGTGAGAATATATCAAATAAATTTTGTTTACTAAAACAAAAATGTAACAAAAGCATCATATATCAGTTACACAGGAGTCACGCTGTATCTTCAATAGGTAAACTTTTAGTTGCAGATTAGCAACTTCATGTCTTCAAGGCTCACCTCATACTGATCGTAGGCAAACATGCTGGCCCACCAGGCTCTCATGTCTGCACGAGTGAAGTCTGGATAACTGGCACTTCCTAACAGATGTCATCCAACCCAAGGAAAAACAAAGAGAACAAATATTAGAGAAATATTTTATGTTTGATAAAGAAATACTGATGTGGAGTTCTCACTCTCTTACCAGGCCAGCACCAGCCTTCATAGTCGCCACCATCTTTATTCTTGACATAGAAACCCAGAGTGCGGATTTCATTATGGATCTTGTAGTTGCTGTCTACTTTAATGTGGGGGTCCACAATAGCAACCATCTAGAAAAGTAAAAAAAAAAAAAAAAAAACAAGTGAAGTGAAGTTCTGGCCAGACACCCATCAAACTGTGCATCATATCACTGTGATCGTCATGTTTCCATCTGTACCTTGCGCTTCTTGTCCATGAGACCCTGCAGCATCTCCTTCGGGGTCGCAAACTTGTGCGGATCCCAGGTGAAGTAGCGCTTCCCATCGGTGTGCTCGATATCAAGCCAGATGAAGTCATAGGGGATGTCGTGCTCGTCAAAGCCGGCATCGACCGACTTCACGTCCTCCTGGTCATTGTAATTCCAGCGGCACTGATGGTATCCCAGGGAAGCCAGGGGAGGGAAAGACTGAGTGCCTGATAAACACAAGGAAGAGGCCAGTCAAGAGCTGTTATTCAAAATTGGTAGTTTTATTACTGGCATTAGGCAGTGGATCAATAATATAAAAGATTAATAAAAATTTGACTTGAAATACAATACGTTTGAGCAGACGCTTTCATGAATCACCACTGATTTTAATCACTTCTGTTTAAAATTACCAGCAATCTCAAATAGAGGGAATTTGTGAACCAAATATAATTATTGGGTTCACTGAAAAACTGTCTCAGTATTAATTAATACTCTGCAGATTACAATCAGCTGCTTACCTAGGCTAAAAAAAATGAATCTAATAAACATTATTACAACTAAGGAGAGTGGAATATTTCTTATGAATAAGAGATATCAAAACAAATCTGAATAAATTGGACTGCTCATTTTAAGCTAAAAAAATAAATAAAAATAGCAAAATAGATTGTATCCTTGAATAGTCAGAGTTCAACATAAGATTTTTTTATCGTGTATTGGGCCTTCATACAGCCCAGTAGATTACTGCCTAACTGAAACGAGACGTTTTAGCTCGAGGGTACCACTCCTGTGCTCCCGGCCAGAAGCAATTGCTAACGAACAAGGAAATCCCAACAGGCCCTCGATAAGAACCATTAAAACATTAAGACTATTAAATGAATGCTAGTGGTATTTGTGTATACAACTTTACACAAGAGTCTCAGCAGTATTGACACTTCCTACCTGTAAGAGAGGCGTACTGAGAGAAGACGTCTTTAGGAGTTGGTCCCAGCATAATGAAGACGTCAATGATGCCGCTTTCAGAGATCCAACGCACATCTGTCTGTGGTGTCTCACTGGAGCCCTGAACATAATCTAGCATTTTCCCAAAAACAGTCTGGAAAGAGAGCAGCACGACAAAAGACGCTTTTATATTTTTGATATAATTACTGATGGCTAGAACAAAAAAACAACAACGAAAACTAAATTCACTTTAAGTAACAATCCAGATCAAGACTTCTTGGAGGAAATGACAAACACCCCCCCACATACCTTTCCAGCTGTATTGGAGCTAATATCCACCCAGGTCTCTGCAGCATTAAGCCAGAAGATGCCTGTAGTTCGCTGGGCACTGTGGGCTACCATCACTGGGACAGACCCGTACAAGGCCATAGGGTTATACAGTTCATACTGGAACACATCCAGGTTATAGAGTCGATACGGATCTCCATTACTGGAACACACAAACACAGGCATGCATAAAACATCTGTGCATTTTTCATAATGAAATCTATTCTGCATGTAAAATGCTGGTGGCACTCACTCTGTTGTTTTGAGTCTGAGAGTGTCTGCATGTTCTGGAATACCATAAACATGCTCGACTCCTGGCAGTGAGAAATCTAAACTAACAGCAGATGGACCTGAGGAGCAAACACATCCAACATCAGTCAAAGAGAACACCTTTTCACCACCTAGCAAACCCGAACACACACACACACTGACATGCAGACATTATGATACAGATACTAAATCACGAGTAGGATTTACCATTAGGTTTGCTGTCTGTGTGCGATTTAAATGTTTCTTCCCACATCCCGTCTTCTACTTTCTCTTCCTCTTCCTTTGTTGTCTGTTAGCCAAACAGGGGAAATAGTCACGTTACTCAGATCTAGCTGAGATGCAGCAGTGAAATGGTGGTTTTAAATCAAGAGAATCCACTCTCTGAAAGAGAGTGGATTTTATTGTGCAGTACCTCTGCTTGGTTTGCTGGATCAGCCTCCTCCTTCTTCTCAGCCTCTGGGTCTGCCTGACTGCTCATGGCATAAAGAACAACGCGAGGAGGGGTATGGGGAAAAAGAAAGGCGTGTTACTTTGGCAAAGTCAGGCCATCTTGATGATATTGTGATGGTGGTAATATATGGGATAATTAAACTATGATTCAAGGAAGGGGACATACAAACACAAGTTGGTGATTGCCCCGCTGTCACCACACTGACATCTGACCATATCTACCATTAATTACTGTAATGACAAAAGGGACTGAGCAACTCCCTGCCTTGTGGCTATTTCAAGCTACACATTATAGTACAGGAGCTCCAGAGGCTGTAGCACGTAACACCCAAAGGACTTGTACCCAGTGGATCAGGCATAAACTGAAAGTAACCAAGAGTAAGCCACTAAAAGACCCTTCACACATTTGCGACAAAGTTTTGAAATGAATTGCAGTGATATACATGCCAGGGATAAGTGTAAACAACAGCTTGTCTTAAAACCCTGTTAATGCAGACAGCAAGCACTGTATTGTTGGTTAAAATAGCTCCAATGCCAGTTCTTACACCAAGAACACGCACAACTACAAACTGAAATATAACCACAAAGAGAGATGTTGCTGTTGGGTTTGGGAATTGAGGTAATGCCTGAGAACTAAGAGGCAGGACACAGACTACATGCACTGTCTCCCACTGACTTTGTGGCAGGAGAAGTTAGGGGGTGTTTGTGAGTTTATGCATGATCTTACATTAACGTATACATATTTTATATGCAGATAAACGTAACTCCATTGTCTTGGACTCTATTTGGTGATGTTAGTCATTATTATGCTCTGCAGCCTAGATGGGCTCAGTGTAGCAACTGGTGAACCTGGAACTTGCTAGACCACCATTAAGCGCTGCAACCTGTGGCTGCAGAAACACTTCAAGTTCTGTTGAAGTCTACAGTCAATTGCTTACATTTTGGTCACGCTAAGTGTCAGGAAGGAGGGTTACCTCCATCCACAATCATCCACCTCTCTCTAACCAAATCTGGTTTCAAAACACCAAGATGGTGACAGCATCTAGGGCTGTGCGATATGACCAAAATCTCATATCCCGATAGAAGAATTCTATCGTCCGATAACGATATAAATCGCAAAAATGTAACATTTTCTGTAAATTCTGTGAATCTCGGGCAGCTCGACTTGCGTGAAGTGTTTCCAGCTGCGCATCATGTAGCTGGAGTCGAGTGTTTTAACCGATGCATGAAACTATACATTTTTAGACATAAGTTGTAACAGCCGCCGTTTTCTTTGTGAGTATTTATTACACGGCATGCTGCGGGGAAAAGCCTGTTCTAACATTTGAGTCTAAGGTTTATTTTTTAGCACCTGGCGGCTCTTTTTTCATTCTCACCCGTAAATAATCTGCTCCTTCACGTGATTCAGTTTATTTTGAAAAGTCTCAACAGGATCTTGAGCTTTATTGTGAAAGGTTTATGTGGAATATAAACAAGCGGACACTTGATGCTGTTACCGTCGTTGTTGCTAACGACAACGCATAAAAACAGCCGCTTGTCCGTCCGTAGTGTGGTTATATAAAATATAAGAGAAAGAGAGAACTTTAAGAAATTAATATAAACACTACAGTGACCATCAAAACGATGAAAAAATATTGCCGTAAACAGTTTATTTTGCGACACCACGAAACAAACTATAGCTAAAATGAAACGATAGATGTTTTTAATATCGTCATCCGATATATATCGTTATATCGAACAGCCCTAACAGCATCTCAGTGATTTATAAAACATCATACTATCCCTCTCTTTTATACTATGTATGACAGCAACATAATCTCTGGTAGATATAAAATAAGTTTGTGGGAAACCCTGGTGTGTGTGTAATGCCACATCATAGCTCTTATCTGGACCTTAACATTATTTCTGCACTTAGCTCTGACCATAAATTAAGCAAGAGTGAAAATTTGAATCATTCATTCAAAAGAACAGATTGAGAAATCCAGTCAGTCATGCAGTTGCGGTGTTAGATGAATTTATCAGACGAGCTGCTAGAGCAATACTAAAGGAGTACAGTTAATCAAACGTTGATCTGACAAAACATTGGTTTACGCAGACAGTAACTAAAAGGCCTAAAGCAGACTCTGCCAGATAATCTCTCTGGGTCTTCTGATGGTCATTGTAAAGACGGTCTATCACAGCTATGCTAACAGGAAGGGCTGGAATGATCCCTTAATCAAAATAAAAATCAAACAACACCATGCACACACTCACCCACACCCTCTCTCTCCGTCACATTTATTTGAGGGTAAATACAGCAGTTGATATGATGTGTGGCCCTAAATTTCATGTCACTACTGGCAGCATTAGCACATGGGACAGAATACACACAAATCTTAAGGGTCTTTACCTAGAGAATACCCTCTTGATATTATCCCACACGCTAGCCACTGTGCTAGTTACTTTATAGGAGAAACTAGGATGATAGGGGAGAAGAGGACAGAACAACGAGTCAGAGACAATACTCAAAAAAAACAAACCATATCATGGGAACAAAAACAGAAATCATCCACGGAGTGACGACGTGGATTCAAAGAGAGGGCTGGCATTTGTAAATGTGTGTGCATGCGTGGGTTTCTCACGTGTCCTTGCGCATCCTCAGGTGCTCAAAGGCCAGCAGGCCGCGTGAGTTCAGAGACATCAGCACGTCGCTTCCTTCCATGATGTCCAGTCGGAAGGGCCGGGCGCTAATAATGACTCTCTGAGACTCCACCCCCAGGGACAGCACCACACCATTCTCGTCCTGAGACAACACAGATAGGCTGAAAGGAAAAAGAGAGAGAGGGAAATGTGAAGTGAGGATTTAGTTTTGATGAAGAAATGCAAGGTCAGGAACTTAAATTGAATAGTTTTTATTATCATCTCATTAATCATAACTTTACACTTATATAAGCTGTAAGACAGAGAAGAAATTATCTGAAACAGTTTCAAGTTTTTGTTTTACTGGAACAATTTCTATTCAAAATTTCAGTTCTCACTCACCTGACACCTTCACAGTCAGGAGGTGCAGAGAAGCCATGAACCATATGATGGGTTTTCTTTCATTTAACAAGGAAAATCTGAGAGATTCTTCATCTTATAATTCCTAAGTGACATCTGAGTGTGTGTTGCTTTGTTTGAGGCATCTCTTTTATTAACGGATCTTTGTCAAAGTAGAAATGTCAGAATTCACACCCTCACTTTACCTAACCTTTAAAAAAGCTGATGTTATCATGAAATATTTTCTGTTGCTCTGCCTATTTAAAGATCCTTTGAAATAAGTATCCCTCCTGTTCTTGTCTTTTCGGCTTGACTCCCAACATCAAAACCTCCACCCACCCATGAAACCCTCACAGGACACTCACGGCTCTGTGGTAGGCTCCCTGATGAGCACGTCTGGGACTTCATAGCGAGGTTTCAGAGGCTTAAGCTCGTTAATCTTCACCCTCGTTATGTTTCCCTGGAGGCGGTAGAGCTCGAGCAACAGACGCACCTGCGACACAAACACAAAGTGAGAATGAGAACAGTGAGAAGCAAAGGCAGGTGCCTCATTTTCTACAAACACAGCATAGGAAAACACTGGGTTTAGCAATGGGTCACTATGATTTCACATAACAAAGAGGTTACCCTGGAAAATGGGATTAACATTTTTTATTTCAGCTGATAGTTCCAAAACATAAAAACAAGGGAAAAGTGATTTTTTTAGCCTAATAATTCAGTTATTAATGCAATAAATAAAGATAAAAGCAATAAAAACAAGTAAAAAAAGAAATAGAGAAATCATATTTTACAGATTGTGCAAATGTTTGTTGTCCCCTTTCTGTAATCTACCTTGTTGTTGTCATTGATGAGCTGCAGGGTGAGTCTGGTGTTGGTCAGCTCCATGGTCTCCAGCAGGGCTCGATAAGGAGACTCTCCAGGCTTCAAAGCTCGCTGACGCCTGTTTAACATTTCAAACCAAGAGCCGACACCAGTTATAAACCTCTGCAATTATGTGCCGCTTTATTCATGAGAAGTTTGTCTTTTGGGAACTCACTTGCAGAAAGCACTCTGCTCACAGGTCTTGAAATTGCCTTTGTCCACAGCCCAAGTCCCGCTGAGGCACAAAGCCAGCCCGACTACCAAGAGAGGCGCCATCCTGTAATGGGAAGCAAAGACAAGAACATTAGCTTCAGCGTGCAATCACATTTGGATGCAACGCCTGGCAGAGCTAACCAAACTACAGTACAGGAGTTGGGTAACAGACAGCACACACAGACGGACTTTGGTCTCTATGGTGCTAAAACGATGAAAAATAGCGCCAGAAAATGTGACAGGCAGCTATACAATTACCCATTTCCTCACCCAGCACACAGTGCGCATATTAACAAGAAGCACCCCATTGTCCTCACCTCAGACGCTGGTCCTGCAATTAAAGGCTCATTCCCAGCCCTACTGTAAAAATCCCGATGAGGGGATGTGTTCAGACTGCCGACAAGGAAAAGAGGCAGTAAAAGCTAACGCAATCAGCTAAGCGGGCTAGCTAGAGAGTGCTCAAGACGGAAAAAACACAACAGGAAACCGCTAAGAATTTTTAATTTAACATTAAATAAACGTCTACGTTTTTACACACGCACTAATGCACCCGTTGTCTGACAGCAGTGTTATCGTTAAGCAATCCGGATCAAGATAAGGTGCTAACCTTACTAAGAGCCAGCCTGTCAAGTCGCTAATCCAATTCAATTCAATTGAGGGGGATATCGAATTTTTCCCGCATTAATTTTCCGACTTTGCGGCAGTTAAACCCCGAAACAGTGAGTTTGCTTTCACGCTTATACGATGTGCAACTACGATGATAAACTCTGTCCTCCTGCGCACTGATAATATTTCGAAAAAAAGAATAAATTGGCGATGAAACAACGGAACTGCTTTGTCCTACCTTGCAGTGAAGGTGGCCATCTTGATTATGCGGCCTCTTGACTCCGCCCCCAATCACTCCGCAACAAAGATCGTTAAGAAATAGGATACTCAGCAACTGCGCTAATATTTACGCGTGTTTTTCAAATAGCAGGTCAATATGTGGCGGTTAACACTGTAAAGAGTATTTTTTTTTTATCTTTATGTTATTTTTCTGGCTGTAAAGAGAGGATGAACGTATGAATGTATCCTCTCAGGCACGGACACGTCATCGCCAGGCTCCAGTCAGTGAAGTGCACACATGGGAGTCTTTGTCCCACCGGATTCATTTCCAGCCAATCCGATGCGTGCAACTGTACTACAGCCGTGCTATAAATCATAACGATCAGCAGATGTATACACACACACACACACACACGGAACACAAATGGACGTAATCGCCTTAAAGATCAATGCTCGTCCATGATTTAGGCGTGTTTTCCCCTCTGGACCTCATGTCAGTGGTCCGGTTTTTTCTTCTATCGGCTGCTCCCTTTCGGGATCGCCACAGATTATCAGCCTCCATCCTCAGCATGTAATCCTTCCCTACATCCATGAATCTTCACTATGGTCTCTATCTTTAACTTCCTTTGCTCAATACATTCCCTCTGCGACAAACTATCTCACCCTTTTAATCTCCATAGAGCTGTTCCTCTGATCTACTCACTTCTAATTTTGTCCATCCTGATCACCCCTCATGGAAATCTTATCATCTACCACCTCCAGCTCCACCGCCTCTGTCTTTTTTGCGATCTCACTACCATCTTGTAAACTTTCCCTTTCACTCTTTCTGTCATCCTTCTGCCACAAATCTGTCTTTTCTTCTCTTGTGCACTGCCCATTGCTTTGGATGGTTTAGCCCAGGTGTTTAAACTCATCCACCTTGATCACTCCACCTGTCTCCCTCCCATTCACACACACACACGCACACACACACACACACACACACTGGCTAGCTTCCACTGACTACCTCCACTTCATCCACCTTTTCTTTTTTGTGAAATACAGATTATCTGTAAGTTGTAGAGTCAAAGTTATTCAAAGACAACTTTAAGACTATTGTAAAGTCCAGGATTGATGATTTGATAATCGTCTTTTTGTTTTACCTTATTTAGAGTGTCTTAACCTTTCTTTGCAAGTTTTTTTGTTCTTTTTTGACATTTAATCAAAATTAGCGAAGCTCAAACACAAAAAGAGCCTGTAAACTGTTAATAATACAACTTTCTGACGATCACATCAACGAGGAACCCTCAAGTTAAGTCAAATTCTGGAACAAAAGGTTTATTTTTTGAAAAGTAGCTGAAAGAAGAGGTCGTGTACACAACAAGAAAGCAAAGTTGTGTTTCCATTATAGAACACAAACAATGTGAAAATTATACAAAACAGTCTGTAAATGATTTAGCAGTTAATGTATTTTTGGAACCAAAATGACACATTAAAACACATTACATCCCAGATTCTGTATGCACACTATGTACACATGTGCCATTTGTGTTTCTCACCAGTTAGAAATGTATCAAGTCTAAAAACGGTACAAAAAGGTATGCACGCGCACAAGCCTCTACTGATATGGTAGTGAACTACAGTGACTGAAACTCTGGGGTCCGCTCTTGGACCGTAACACAGTAATCCCTCCATTTTACAGTCTATTTATTCCCCGTCACTCCTCAGAGCTGGAATCGCCAGCACAGGTGCCCCAGTCTGTCAATGTTTTTATGTAGCACGCTGTGGATCGGCGCCACGTATCTTGCCACGTCGCCGTCCCGTGAGAAATCTCTGCAGAACATGCCCTTCTCCGAGCTGAAGACAAACTTCTGGGGCATGGGCCCATTCCCCCTTACGTACTCCCACACAGCCAGCAGCAGCAGCCTCACCTCGAAGGGAGTCAGGTGAGGGAAAGCTTCGTGGACGTTGGCCAGGACGGGTGGCAGGAGCTGGCCTTCTCCCATGCAGGACACCAAGAGGCAGGAAGCCTGGAGGTGCCATGGGGAGTCTGTGGATGATGCCTCGCGAGATGCCTCCCAGTGGGCCAACAGAGTGGCCAGGAGGCCTCGGAGCACCGCTGAGCAGTAGCAGAGAGCCGGTCGTCCAGCTGCAACGACCTGAAGCAGAGGGAAGAGCACAGGGTGGGCCTCAAAGCAGCGCCGAATGTGGATGTCTCTCTCCACTGTGGTGCGGGCGTGCTCTTCTGGGGGCCAGGATAACTCGCTATTGGCCACGTCGGGACAGACGTTTTCCACTATTGTGACTGCAACAACCTTGGCTGCCTCCGCGTTGATGGGTGGCGGCTCATCGGGGTCAGACGGTGATCGTGAGCCGTTCAGACCGGAGGAGCTGCAACACTTGACAATAACTGCCAGCAGAATCTGAATGTTCTACAGAGAAAAGAGGACGAAAACATGCACATTATTACGGATTTATTTCCTCTGTTTGAACATTTCATAGGAGTCACATGGACGAATAATTTTTATGCACGACTTACAGTAAAAATACATTAAAAAAACCCACTTCCTTAGTCTATTTATAGTTTTAACTGCTCTGCAATCTTTAAACACTCACCTGTATGACTAAGGATGGATCAGGCAGCTGTATGCTGGTGCGAGCCTTTAGTCCCTTGCCAATCACACCTGCGTGAAACACAGACCACACACTACTTGAAAAATTAACGGTGGTACCAAACCGACAGTTGACGTCCAGCAAAGAGGCTCCAACATCAGGCGACACAGATGGGGAAGTCACAGGGGCGCCAGACATGTCTGCGATCTGCCCTCCAAATAGGTCAGTGTTGCCTTTATGTAGCGCTCCTTCGACCAGCTGCTGAAGCACTGATTTGAGCGTAAGAGGAGAGTATGCGGCAAAACGGGACAGTAGAAGAACGGAGCAGTTCACTGCTTCACCTGCCTGCCCTCCATCTCTCCCTGCCTTCCCTCCTTCTCCTCTCCTTCGCAGAGCCTGGAAGAAATGAGTGACGGCAGCGCGAGAGAGTTGGAGCAGCTGTGCTGGGGAGCAGGTGCGAGGGAGCGGGCTGCAGGACAGGAGGCGTACTGCAGCGTGAGATACAGCTGGGTCACCGTGGAGAAGAAGTGGGCAGAAATCATGGAGGTGTCCTGAGACCGCCGAGCCCACCTGGACCACCATGGAGGACTGAGCACCTGTTGCTCCTCTTCTCTCCTCGTCCTGACTCTGGATGGCTGCAGCCAGGTTGAGCAGCAGCTGCCTAAGCTGCCGAGGCCCCAGAGTGTGCGTGTGGATCTGCGCCACGCTACGTGCAATGGCAGCAGGAATGAGGCCTGCCATGCAAGAGGAGAGCGTGGTGTGGAGCTGCCAGGCCAGAGCCAACTCCTCTGGATTGCGGGCCTGAGTGAGCAGCTGGCAGAGGGCCTCAGTTGCTGTGCTGGGACCCCCATAAACTGAGAGCAGACATAGCAGCTGGTGCAGCCAGAGATGACGCTTCCTCTCCAGTCGCAGCGTCTCAGCACACAGCTGACCAATGTGAGACTGCAGCTCCTCCAAGAACGGGATGACCCTCTGGGGCTGTGAGGAAGCAGAGTGATGGGGGTTGACCTCAACTCCATCAGTGCGGTTGAATACTAACTTGTGGAGATGCAGGAGCAGCATCTGCAGGAGGCGGTCGCAACCTTCTCGGACTCCTTCGTGAGGTGAGGGAGTTGGGCCTGAGATAATGACTGAAGCTGGGGTTGCAGTGTCTGCCAGAAATCGGAGGACCCGGGCGCCTCCCGAAGGGCTCTGGCTAATGAGATGCACAACCAGGCCCAGCATGTTATCCAGTTCCTCTCTGGGGAGGCCCTGCAGCACGGCCTGTAGTTGGAGCAGGACAGGGGGGCGCAACAACTCGACGAGCTCTGCAGACACAGGACCAAAAAGGTTTGGGGACATTGCTGCCAGCTGCAGGAGAAACGGCACCGCAGCACGACGAAGCTGAGGGGAGCTTTCCCAGGATGTTGAAGATGAGGTTGGAGATAGAGGGCTCGACGGATTGAGACTCTCCTGGAACATCCTCAGCAGCTCTTTCCGGATGCTGTCGGAGTGGTGAGCGGCGAGGTGTCCAAGGATTCCCACCACTGAGCCGATCTTTGGCACTCTGCTGCCTTTATCCACTCCCATTACAAGCAGCCCTTGGTCCTTAGCACCATGAGAGCAGAAGTCCTTCAGTCCACATGCCATTACTCGGCTGATGATGGTACCGGGGAAGGCAGACCCAATGTGAGCCACCACCCAGTCAAAATGAGGGGAGTGCTGAACTGAAGTGTCCAAAAGAGCATCGACACAGGCATCGGGGCACCAGGCCAGCATTGCAGCCAGACACTGAGAGTAGGCTTCCATGAGAGATCGAGTGGCAGCACAAGACATCCAGAGCTGAAGCAGCTCATTGAGGCTGGAGGAGTGGGGGGCAACACGGCGCCCAGCATGCTTGCTGCTCAGCTGGCCCAGTAAATCCACAGCCCAGGTGGACACTAGAGGGGCCCAGGCTCGGGGGTTGAGACGGATGAACTCTGACAGTACGGCGTGAATCTCCTACAGACAAAAGAAATAATAAAACAAATTTACCTTTAAAAATCTTTTTTAGCTTCAATATGTGCATATTTATTTTATGATGGTGTATTTTTGTAGTCACACCTGTATGATGTCCTCCAGGTTGGAGCTGACCCCAGTGCTGGCATTACTCTCCGTCTCTAGGTTGTGCAGGAAGGCGGACACATGCTCATCATACACGCCTCGCAGATGCTCCAAGACCGCCCCACGACAGGCCGGGACTGAGCGCAGCAGGCGCACAGCGCAGCGAGCATGTTCTCGGACGCTAAGCTTCCGGCCCTGAACGGTGTCAACGCCACTGATGAAGGACTTGATCTCCTGAGACAGTTCCTGGGTACTAGAGAAGGAGAAAGTAGACATGAGGAAAGTGAGTGGTGTCTCACCAACAAGCTAAAAATGATAAGGACGGCCATAATGATCTAAGAATACATCACTGCTAACATATTCTGTGTGAATATATGAAGAAGTTGTGAACAACACCCATTAAGGCCTTACAGAACCAAAAGTGAC